CCCTCCCGCTTCCCCCCTCCCGGTTACAAAACGGAGCAGCTCCGGCTCCGGGGCGCTTTCTGCGACAGCCTCCCCAGGGCTGGGCTGCCGCTTGCAGGCCTGGGATAACAGAGCTTGCAATGTTGTTTTCTCCTCGCCTCCTCGGGGATTGGTTTATCTCTATGAATAACTCCATCCCAGCTTTGATCTCCTCTGCCATTAAAGCATGACAGGCTGTGAAATGTGCGGTTGCTGCCGTCAAATCCCCCTCCCGCTTCCCCCCTCCCGCCGCCTCCGTGCTCCCCCGCTCCGGGGAACCTCCTTTCCCGGGCCTGTGACAAGCTGCAAAAGCAGCAAGTGGGGCCAAACTGCCCCAGGACAGTGGCCAAACACTACGCCAGAGCCAGGAAAAAACAGGCTACTTCCACCATCCCGCGTCCCTCGCTGCGGCAGGGAGGAGGGCATCGACCATCCCTGGTCCCCAGCAGTGGGTCAGGGTGCGGCAACATCATCCCAGCACGCGCCGCCACGGGGGCTGATGTCACGACTAATTATAGCATCCCCCGTCCCTCTCCCCCGCCAAAGCTTTACCTGAGAGAGGGTAAAAATAACTCCTGGCAAGGGAGGAGCGGGAACAAGCCCAAGGACTCCTCCAGCATCGCCAAAACTTGCACAAACCAGGACGGCACCCCCCTGCCTGTAACATGGGGACACAGCCACAGTTTGTCCCCAATCATGGAGTCAGGACACGCTCCCCTGAGCGCCAGCGCCACCGTGCTCCTGGCTGTGACCATCCCCGGTCACCTTCACCCCGGCTCGAGTGTCGGCTCTGGGACAGGCGATGGTAACCGGAGCCGGGGCAGCGCTCATCCTCGCCGCCCCGCACGGCTGCTGGGAACCAGCCCTGGCACTCTCCGCAAGCTGTTTAAGCCGAGCAAGGCAGGTTAATGGCCCCAGCTGATGGTGGAGTGTTTTCATTACAGCATCTCCCTCTCCCTGCTGCAATCGCTCCCAGGAAGACACATTAAACCTCCCCATGCCATGGGATCAGATCAGCCCCTCACTCACACCATCAGGGACTGTCCCACAGGGTCCCCAGGCAGCACCACTCACCTGTCAGTGCCCTGCCAGGGCTAAACAAACCCCTTCAGGCTTCTCTTCCATTTTCCTTCTTCTCCTCTCCCTCCTACAGACATTGCACAGAAACTCCCTGTCCCAGAGCTGGGGAACACCAGAAATCCCACCCCGACCTCAGCCAGTACCTGCTTGCTCTCTGCCAAAAGCATCCTCCCAGCTCACTCCCACAGGGCTAAGCCAGCCCAATGCCCCCAAACCCCCACACAGGTGAAGCCCTGATGCCTTTATAGCCCAGCCCTGCCCACGGTGCAGCTGCAGCTCGTCTCCGTCAAAGGCAAAGGGCTGGGATGTGACCTGGTCCCCATGGCATGGTGGCTCCCAGCCACCCAATCCGCCTCCCTGGTCCCATTTCCCAGGACGAGTTTCCAGCTCAGACTCTCTGGGTTGCTCCCAAAAGGCGCGACCTTGCTCTCAGCTTTATGAAATTTCATCCCGTGGCTCTGGTGCTCGTCCCCAAGGTCACCCATCCTTTCTCCCAGGTGCTGACAGCATCCCCAGCTTTGTGGCAACTGCCAGCATCCCTCTTACACAAGGGCTCTATTGGGAATATTGAGCTTGGAGAACCCCAGGACGGCCTCTCAAGGGACAACCCGCTGTCACGTCATCGGTCATCATCTTGGCTGAGTCTGCCCTGGCAGGGATCCCTAGTGCACACCCTGCCCATTACACCGGCGTCACTTGCTCAGGAAGAGCAGATAACTTTGCACGGTATCAGATCAGATTTGTACAATTTTCCTGGTTGCATTTGTTCGCCCGGTTTGGTGGTGCCCATATCCGCGAGCCGGGATGTGGTCAGGGACCGGGGCCCTGCACTGCATGCGGGGAAGGAGGCACAGCAGCCGAAGCAGCAGGCTAGGGCATGCTCATCGCACCCGGGCACCGGCCAAAACCTCCCATCCAGCTCTTGCGCATCAAAGCGCTGCCATATTTAGATGCTCCCCTTCCCCTTGGGCCGGTGATGGCGGCTGCGGTGCTGGGATAGGGCTGGAGATTGCTCTGTGGTCGCATCAGATGCTTTTATGAAGTGCTGATTGAAGGAAAATAGCAAACCGCAAGAAGGGGCTGTGCTGCTGCAGGGCTGCAGGGAGGAGACGGCTTTGCTCCCGGCAGCCAGTCTGGCCGCCGGCTCCATCCCACCACCCTGCATCAGGGCTGCCTCCCCAGGACCCCCAACCCCAGCCAGCTCAGCAGCACGAGGCCTGGACGCCGTCCCCCGGGGGAAGCGGTGGCTCCCTGTGCCCCACAGGGATCGGAAGCACGAGGTGACACACCGCGCAGTGGCTGGGTTCTGCAGAAGGAATCATCACCTGAGCTATGGCAGCGCCCAAATCCTGCCAAAAGCAGCCCTGGCTTGGAGGAGGATGGACCTCGCACCGCGCAGGACGTTGCCTTCGCCGGGTGCCCCTGTGCACATGCTGCCGCCCCATGGCACAGGGAGATGAGCCTGCAGGGACGGGTGCTGCCAGGGCAAGATGAGCACTGTGAGAGCTTGGGGACATCATAGAATCCTTCCGCCCTCGCTGGCACCACCTGGGCGGGCGCTGCAGCAGGACGGTGTCACAAGCATTTTGGGAAAACCTCTGGCTCCAGCTGCCCTGATGAAGAGCCCAGAGAGCCCGGCATATGGTGGCTCCGGAAACAGCCTGGCACCCGGCGGGGAGCGCCTGGCTGGAGCAGCCAGTTGGGCTGCCAGGGCCGTGCTGCCCCACAGCGAGGATGGAGGATGCGGTGTGGGTACGCAGCACAGCGAGTGCCTGCACACACACCCGTGCACACCCGTGTTCACCAGACCCGGCAGCCCCTCAGGCCCCCCAGGCAGCACCAGGAGCTCCCAACATGTCGGTGCTTCTGGAGCCGGCGACGTCTCTGCTCCGTCCTGCCAACAGCAGCCGGCTGGTCCCAGGGGACCTGGGGAGCCCGCAGAACCGCCCCTCGCTCCTCCTCTCCTCCTCCCTGCTCCTGATATACCCTCCTCTCTCCATCCCCTCTGAGCATCCCTCTGTTCTTCTCCCTCACTCCCGCTTGCCTCTCGCTCCTTTTCCCTTCTCCGTTTCTCTTCTCTGAACTTGCCCCTTCCTCCTTCTCTGCTCTCCCCCAGCCCCTCTCACTCACACCCCGAGGAACCAACCCACCGTCGAAGACCCCCAGGCTGTGGCAGGGTGGGGGTCAGGACCCCCACGCCAGAGCTGGGACCTCCACGCTGCAGCTGGGACCCCCACGCTGGACAATGCCTCTCCAGATATTCTGCACCATCTCCTTCTCCAGCGAGGAAGGACCAAGAGATGCTGCAGCCACTGGGAGGGGAGAGGATGGAGCAGATGAGTTCCTGTATGGGCAGGAGGAGGATGAAGAGGAGGAGGAGGATGCGGGGGCAGCCACGGACTTTGTGGCCTTTGCCAGCAGCTGCACGCTGCACGGGCTGAGCCACATCTTTGTGGAGGGCAGCCTGGGCGTTCGGCAGGCGCTCTGGGCGCTGGCCTTCCTCCTCTCCCTCTCCGTCTTCCTCTACCAGGTGGCTGACCGCATTGTCTACTACCTGGAGTACCACCACATCACGCTGCTCAGCGAGGAGGACAGCCCCAAGATGACCTTCCCTGCCGTCACCTTCTGCAACATCAACCGTGTGCGGGTCTCGCAGCTTAGCCACGAGGACCTGCTCTACCTGGCCCCCCTGGTCGACTATGAGCCCGGGATGGAGCTGGGCTTCACCCCAGCCCAGCCCGGCCCCGGGGATGAGGACGAGCCCCTAAATTTGTACAGGTTTTTTAACCACACTTGCCACCAGCTGGAGGACATGCTGCTGAGCTGCAGCTACCGGGGCGAGCAGTGTGGCCCCGGCGACTTTGCGGCGGTGAGTAGCCCCAAGGTGGCCAGGCATGGGGAGCAGCTCCAGCCGGCATCGTGTCGGATCAGGCATGGTGGGCGATGCTGTCCTTGCCCGCTCGCTCAGGGACAAGCTGATATTTCAGCCCTGTCCACCGGCACCTGGGCGTCTCGCTGGCGTTGGGGACGGCACCGGCTGCGGAGACCCGCTGGCAGGACATGGAGAGCAGCCCCAGGGCTGTGCTTGCAGAGGAGGTGCCTGGCTCCTCCGTCCCGGCGTCACCACCGCCTGCGGGGCACCGTGCAGTCTGCAGCCCACTGGCCTCACATGCCCCTTGCCCAGGCTGGCAGCAGCTCAGTGGCGTGGAGACATGCCAGCTGCCGGAGGCGTTAGCGGGAAA